AAAGGAACAAGATTCATCAATATATATATAATTTTTAATCAAGTTATCGCTTGTACGGACAGACAGATCACTGTGATATACGTAATTCTATACCTATTTTGATTTGTTTTAGGCATTATACACTTACCCCAATGGGCTGCAGATATCAGTAAATTGCGGTCCGTGAACACTAGCTAAAGACATGATTGTTGGAGCTGCAAAGAAACGTAAAAAAGTATAACTATAGTTCGAAATAAATTTTTGAATTTTTTAATAGGATATATGTGAATTGTCCGTTGTTTCTATAAATATTAGTTCTATATAATTGCATGCATACAAAGTACGTCTATGTATATGTACTTTAAAAATCACAAAATCGACTGACTAATGACGGTATCTATGACTTTAAAAAATATTCCTGGTTTTACTTCAAACACATACAAAGATATATATGTATGTTTGAAAAACAATATATCACTAATACAATGGTACGATCACCAATACGATCTCTACCGGTTAGTCATATTTTACATATACATAAGCTTGCAATTTATTTAATTTATCAATGAAAAGGAATGTATTCACATATATTCTCATACATACACTTATACATACTTTGTAAATATTTCAATTATCAAATGCATTTTATAGAATACTAACGGAAAATAATTACGAATTTTATTAGAATAATTTGAGAATATATGTACATACATATCTATTCCTATCTGGTCGTTGAATTTCTCAGAAAGGTTCAATATATACTGCTGTCCATGTAATAAATATCACATAACAGGTTTGTAAACGACAAATCTCCAATTGTATATTCGTATCAACAATTTCAGCGAACGCACCCAAAGCCCGCGAACATATATACATGCATACTAAATGTGAATGTTCAAAAATACATTTTTCATATATAATTCACTGAACTCTAAAATGGATGACCTTTTCAATTTTCAAATTATGCATATGTAGTACATATGTGTATGCACCTAGATGTTTTACAAATGTATTTCGCCTATACGTATGCAATAAATGGTTTGACCCTGAAAGCTTATGCTAAAAACAATGAAATATTTCAACGCATATCATACACATGTATGTATATATGTACAATTCTTTGAATTGTGACGAATAAAAAGGAATCGTTATTAGTCTTTAATATTTGAATGTAATACAGTTGTGTAGATATACATACATATGTACATAGTCTGAAATGGACAAAAGCAAGGTTAGGACATTTGATTTTTTACGCGACAAACATTGCAACAACAAAATATATTAATATGCATTCATATGTACATATGTACACATGCACATATTAATAATTAACAGTCGGCTATTCCAGCAGCAGACTCGTTAATTACTTATTTGCAATAGCCGAGTACATAAGCAAAAACTGGTAAAATGCGGTACGATTTTGCAAAACTAGGTTTGGTTTTCACTTGAAACGTTGTTGTTAATGTGCATCCCTCATATGTACGCATGTATATGTAAGAATATACATACATACATTCATATTATATTACAACTTTAAAATCGATAGAAAGTTTTTTAAAACAGTGAACGTCACTTGGAAGATAATACTAAAGCTATCCGTGCATTTCTTACACATAATACAAAAACGCTTGCAGTCAACAACAAAAAGCATTTTTAAATTTAGACTTCCCAAGATGCTTCAAGGAGAACCCTGAATTTACGCAGAACTATGGTACATACATACATATAATATATATGGTCCAGCCCTGGTCATAGTAATGATAATAAGTACTACTTATATTCCTCAATACGCCAGTGACCAGACTTTACCAGAACTATACAGAAAGAGTTCTTGTTGTTATTTTTGTTTTCCTCAAAGTGAAAGAGGTATAGCGAATGAGAAGACGATCTACTTCAACCAGGAGTTAAAAATTTTATTAAAACGTCGCCGTAGAGCTCATACAGTTCGTGGTTACATCGTCTTCGATATTCATGTAATCATGAATGTAACAACCATTTCAATTTAATACCAAGTACTAGGTAAACAAAACCATATAAAAATATTAATGGACCAATTTCAACACAGAAATCGTTCTCATATCTTTTGTTGCTCTCCCGCTCCGAGTAAATTTCTGTTTAAAATTTCAGCTATAAATACAACATGGAAACTACACGATCGTTTGAATATTCCAATAAGTTTGCACCGTTTTTATTTTTGTTTTAGAATGTGGAGTGATGCAAGGTTTCCTTAGCTGGAAATTTGCAGTTGCTGTTTCTTTACTGTCTCTTGGCTTTATTTACTGTTTGCATATTCACTTGACGTCAATGACAATCGTCATATTTAAAGTAATTCTCGTCTTCAACGTAACAAATTTATATACAAGTATATACTTGTATATTATGTGTATGTAATGCACATACGAGTGTGTTTATTAAATAAAACCAAGTTAGTGAATGGTATATTATATATGGTATAGTCACTTAAGGCAATAATAGACACTTTTGATTTTTTGATGTAATTTAGATTGCATCCTTAGCTGTTGCCACCGTATCCAGAGCATACAAAGCTGAACGTCTATATATGTTTATACACATTATGTATGTATATATGTGGGGTTGAAAGGGGTAGTTTTAAAAATTGAAAAAGCGGCTCGTGTACTGGAAAATTTGTCACTTTGTTTAACCCCTTCAATGTGCACTTTAGGGCTCTTTTATCCCCGCTTTGGGAATGAATTGCATACCAGTGTACTACTATGGAATTAGGAGAGCAGCGTTTAAAAATTTAATTGATCTAAGAAGTCTAAAACAAGGAGATCATAATTTACTATTCTACGGATAACAAAAAGTGTACTTATGTATACCCAATATGTACGCAGTTAAATCTTTAGTGAAACTGTTGCCATTTGGTCACACATAACTACAAATAGTACTCTTACGTATTGTATGGGTATTATTCAGTCGTTTCCATTTAGAACTGAATACCAGTTCAGCGCGTTCAAAGTCACATAAATATGTATGTATTTAATCGTGTTCATAGAATTCGCGAAGTGTGAGGGGTTTAAAAGTGTGAGAATGTAAAAATGCCTATTTATTTGTATTATTTTTAATTTTAGTTTAATGGGAGGATATCTTACTTCCATCAATCATTTATAATTGTTAGTTTTTTACATATCAACTATCTACGCTTTATATAACAAAATACTTGCTCAGTTATGTACTCACAATTGAGAGTTTTGCTTTCAGAATGGATTCTAATTGTTCACTTTTGAAGGATTTTTTTTTAAATCTGATGGATATAGTGTTTGTTAACTGCAGCGTTGACGTTGTTGACACGAAATTTTCGCTTATGACAATATATTTTTATCACCAACACGGGTATCAAAAACGACTTTCGTAAAAAACAGTTCTTTTTCAATTCTTCACAGTACTTCGATTGCACAAATATTAAACACTTTTATTATGTGTGATTTTGGATGAACAGTTTCATAACTTTTTCAGTCCTTTTAAACTATATTTAAAGTCTCTATTCTTGACTCAATTGATTTTGGTTCTATTGCTGTCTTTATATTCCACGCCAGCTAACAAGCGCGACAACACGACCCAACTCAAAAGACTGAAATCATATGTTGCGTGCGGCTGACTTTTATGAAATTTCGCCTGACAACGCAGTCTTGGTCTACAGCTGGTTACGCTGTGCTCGTACACCCATATACCCTTATGCATGTGTTTAGCATATACATGCACATATTACACACGTATGCCTGAATGCACACAAGTTTTCAAATTCGCAAATTGTGTGTATGTGTGTGTGTGTGAGCGTCGGCTGTAAATATATGTATGTGAATCATAAGTGCATGTAGTAACTTCAGCAGTAAGCGATGGTTTGATGTAAGGAAATGCAGGCGGCAGACGTGTGGTATGAGTGATCGGTTATTTTATAAGCTATGAGTCGCGTTAATAAGCACTGCGAATAAATACGTAGGCAAACAGAGAGAAATACTAAAAACCGATCCAAACACGAAACGGTGTGTGATAAATTCAATAGCAAAGCAACAAAAGATCACTGATATTATACATATATATATGTATATGTATATATATTCGCGGAAAGTTAATTTTGATTTGTTGTAGTGAGTGAACACGCGTGACTAGCATGATGGTACTAAAACCAAATTCATTAATATTTGTTTTTTTATGTCTGGGGATTATTTCTTGGGATTTTTGTGTAGCGATTGTGTTTAGTAAGTTGTGGAAATCATTTACGCTGTTAAATGTTATTATGAAAAGGAGGCACAGTAACAATCGCCAATAAATGAAAGAATAAACAAACTCAGGTCGACATTGTACGCTGATAAGAGCCTACAGCAAAAGTCATACATAATTTATAACAGAGGGAGAGTGCCACAAGAGCAGACACTAATAAAACACGCCACTCGCTTGCCAAATCATTCCGCACCAAACGTCGCATCATCCACCATGCCCGTATCATTAAAATTGTGCATACTTACATATGTATGTATGCTAGTATGTAAATACGTAGTAGTTGTCAGTCACATTTTACAATTTTAGATTATAATACACATGATTTGTCTAGATATTTCTTGTGAATGAATGAATGAGTAAGCCATACGATGAATTCTATTTAACTTTGATACTTATCATTTAGATATCTAGAAAAAAATGTGATATTGTGTGTGCAACTCAGGTAAACACAACATCCGCTTCGCTATCATATTATGCACCAACACATTGCGCGTGAGAACTTTTGCATTAAATTTGAGCATTCTATCCGCTATTTATTTATCAAAAATCACACGGCCGGCCCGAGACAATTTACCACCCTTCAAAGCCTATTTTGCATTTATAACCTCTTCAAGGGATAAATATGTAAAGAAAATTAGCCAAAACGCCGCCCTAAGCAATTGCATAACTTGCTTATATGGACGGACCGGCCCTGAAAGTTCAAAGGCATACTTCACCCAAAGCTAAAGCAAACTTAAAAATATTAGATATCTTGTGTGATTACTTACTGTATGATACTGCCTAACATACTGTAAGGTTATTGTATAGATCTACAGACACATTTTAAATTATGGTGTTCGATTCGCACACCTCTGATGACATTATAATGCTTCAAATCGATTTGAGGACTATAATTACGACTTATTGAAAATCAAGAATAATCAATCAATACTTATGTATGTATGTGCATATAAATAATTCGTGTGTATATACATATGTATATTCACTGTTGGGAAACACATTCTTACTTCGGAACTTGACTTATGTGAAATTTTTAATTACGTAAGCTAATTGAACAAAATCAAATAGAAAATTCTGAGGCAACAATTGAAAAAACGAAACAATTAAATTAGATCGGAGAGCATGTATGTACAAAGGTGAGGAGTGTCATGACATGTTATTTAATTTTTTTCTGAGTTCGATATTTGAGGAATCGGCGATTTTCCAAGCATGCACAAATTCAACTGATCTTGGAGCAAAATTCACCATTCTCTTGAAGTATGAGGACAGGAAAAAGTCGATTAGGGCCATATCTGAAGAATATGATGGATGCGGAAGGAAAACGAAGTAGTTCAGTTTTAATACCGACCTATATTAATATTTATATGACACAGTGGAACGATCGATTGTGAGCCTAAAGCTTTCACAAACTAACATATTCATAAACTATGTGTGACATGTGGGATGTGTTGGACATTCTATAAATATCTTACACTCTGTCAGCTATATCGACCATTCTTCTTCATTTTACAGTTATATAAAATCATTTCGAGGATTGTTTTCGTCCGTAACAGCGTCTTTTGTACGTCTATTCAGCTCGTCGTCTTTGGTGATGATATGGCCTGTGCGGAAGCCTCTTACGAATTGTTATTTTTCTACTATTTTGAAGAAGACTTTTGAACTCATGATTTGCTTAAATTGAAATAATACATTATATTTGAACCAACATTCATAAGATATCAAAGTAAAAATAGATTTTTTAAGGTAAATATTTTTAGCTAACAAATTATATTTAAACACAGATATACATACGAGTATGTACCTTGGTATGTATGCTTATGAAAGTTAAAAATAAATTCTGTTTCTGATTTTCTTCACGTGATTTTTACCTATAGATGTCTGATTTTATTTACGTATTTACAATACATTTTATTTTTATGGTAAAATCACTTTTACTAATGATGAAATACGTACATAACTGCATTCCTAGTTTGCGAAAATTCATTACATTTTTGTAGCTTTGACTTGTAATCTCACATTGCTCCGTGTATTTAATAAGTTATATTAGGTTTCGACCTAGTTCAACGATTTGAGTTTAGATTAATCAAGAAACTGATGATATTATATATAAAATATCTGCCATAAGGTGTCAGTGGCTTGCCCATGGTTCTTGCCTGTACGTCTCTAACAGTACAAAGTTTTAGGAGTTCTGGACAATAACACGCTTTTGATTTTTGGTTGCTAAAATCATAATTTTTGAACAAGAATCCAACGGGCCTAAACTTTTCTGAGATGGCGACCAGGCGAATTTATGAAGGTGATACTGACATCGTAATAACAAAATTGCAAACACTTATCATTTGAACAATCAAGAAAAACCGTAATAGAGACTTATCGCACTTAGGCCAAACACAATGGTAAACACTTCTTTAATAGTTTTATTTTGTTCAAATGTATCGCTTTACACAAGCACTCTTGTTCATGCGCATACTTTAAAATAGGTGGAAGCATTTGATCTCAAATTTGAAATGAGTTCGAGTGGGTAGCCAGACACTTCTCGCAACTGGAGAATCAGTACTTATGCATACTCATATCAATAGATGCACAAACCACAACAAATGGCAGTTAATATAAAAATAGTAATCGAAAGCTATTAATACACAACTTACTTAACTAACACTTATATTCATATAGTTTACTCGTAAGTGCATTCGTTGAAATTTATATACATATGTATGTCAAAATCCATTAAAATTGTAACTATTCTCCTTCCAAGTAAATTCTCGCGTAAACTACCTTCCGTATTCGTGAAAGTTGCTATATTTATTTTGAAAATATGACATCTTGAACCAAACACGCGCTAGACATGTATTTAAAAACTTGGACTGGCTAGTATAAGGAAATAATGAATCACATATTTTTTTTTGTCAAATATGATGATTGACAGGTCAGTCAACTATGGCAGATCAAAATATTGAATCATCAGCATCCGGATTACATAACATATTGTTTCTCTAAATCAGAGTGACTTTATAACGTATTTAGAAATATTTTGTGACTACCATTGAGTGGTCTTAACGTTTTTATACTCTCGCAACCTGTTGCTACAGAGTATAATATTTTTGTTCACCTAACGGTTGTTTGTATCACCTAAAACTAATCGAGTTAGATATAGGGTTATATATATATAAATGATCAGGATGAAGAGACGAGTTGAAATCCGGGTGACTGTCTGTCCGTCTGTCCATGCAAGCTCTAACTTGAGTAAAAAATAGTTGAAATCGGGTGGCAACTCCGCGCACTCCCCATATAACGGTACTGTTAAAAACTACTAAAAGCGCGATAAATCAAGCACTAAACACGCCAAAGACATTAAATTTTATCTCTGGGATGGTATGAGATGACTTTATAGGAACCGCGTTCAAAATTAGACAGTGGGCGTGGCACAGCCCACTTTTTGGTGAAAACCCATATCTTGAGATCTGCTTAACCGATTTCAACCAAATTCGGTGCGTAACGTTCTTTTCATATTTCTATGTTATAGTGCGAAAATGGGCGAAAGCGGACTACAACCACGCCTACTTCCCATATAACACCATTTTAAATTCCGTCTGATTCTTTCACTTTCCACTATGCAAATCAGGCAACAATGACTGTATCGGGATAAAACTTTGCGTGAATAATGCGATTAAAGTATGCCACCTTGTGGCCAAAGATTGTCTAAATCGAACCAAAACTGTTTAAGCCCCTAAGTACTAAATATGTGGACCCCAGTGCCTATAGTTGACCTTCTACCGAAAATATCAGCCAATCCACAAAGAAATCTCAAACGAGTATACCATATGACTGCGAGAGTATAAAATGTTCGGTTACATCCGAACTTAGCCCTTCCTTACTTGTTTCATATAAATACGTATAAATATACATATGATTTCGCTGAGACCTAGACCCAAAAGATGAAAGGCCATCTGGATAAAAATTAATTTAACAGACAAATATTCATATACAAATATATACACATACATATGTACACAAAACAAAATATTAAAAGAGTAAACTAATAATATAATACATAATACATATTTCCTGGAATCCAATTTTTAATTTGTGTTTCCCTTATATTTATTATGCATATATCGGATATATATATTAAAACCAAGTTTTAAATCCGATAATAATAATATATGGCAACAATTTAACGATCGTCAATATAACCATGATTACCAAATTAAATAGAGTATAATGGAATAACGGTGGTGGAGGTTTAGTTACACCAGCAAGGTGTGTGTCTGAAGTAGTTACCACCGATGGGAGCTATTAACTGATGCGATAAAAATAAGTTAAACGCCTCTTGTGCATATTTACTAGTGATTAGAGTAATTAATTAAAGTTCAGAACCATATGACCACAGTTAATTCCCAAATTCAATTGAAAATCTAATTTTTAATCCGAAATTTTTTAATTAAAAAATTTGCGACCCTGGTGCAACTGAAGCCAATAAAAAAATTCTATTTGAATAAATTCAAAACTAAATTCGGGTGGTTTGCAACTGAACAAACCATTTTATTTATTAAAAAACACGCCACAGATATGTACCATATGTATGATTTTTAGGCAGTTGTTTGAAACACCTAAAACTAATCGAGAAAGATATAGAGATGTACAAATCAAAATGATCAGGACGACGAGACGTCAAAGTTATCTTAGACATTTACCTAACAGAGTACTCCACTTCTCCTAATTCTACGTAACCGGAACGGACCCGGATTTATTCCGGCCAAGGACTGTCAACTCGGCAGAATTCTGCCGCTACAACAACAACAACAACTTCATTCGTTTAATATTGATTGTGTGGATCTTTGCGTGGCCGTCTGTTATTAATTGGATATTTATTTACAGATATAAGATTGAATATATGTCAAATAAATTGGCAATAACAAGGAATATATATATAATGTTCCTTTATTAAAAAAACCCTCAAAATACAATTCATTTTTAATAAGAGATCATGCCTTCAAAGGAATCTGATTTTTTAAACACTTAAGGTAAGGTAAAACAAACCTAAATAGTGTATTGTATTTACAAAATTCTGTACCAAAAACGAGCATTGTGATCGCAAGGGAAATGCATATGTATATTCATTTTTTTCTGATTTCAGTACATATAAATTTCGCATGGCCATTACTAATTTAACATTTTTCAATACTGAAAATTGTGCTTTGGTGGGTAAACTTACCTTTTATGTTCACTGCATTTAACCTGTTGTTGGAATTGTCTAAACATCCTATAATAGGTGCCTGAGCCATTAGAGTCAGTGCCCTTGTGCTGAGAACGATTTGCTGATTTTCAGAGCCGGGTGACGCGCTATAGAAATCTGGATCATCAGCATCGAAGACAATATTGTCTTCCCACTCAGAAACTACACCATCGCTCCCTGTGGGCCGACTTTTCATCTATACATAAAAAAAATACAATAATCAATATATTAAATATCATTTAAGAACCTTTCATGTAGGTTTTATTGGTAAATCATGTACTATACTATGAAACCAGTTATTAATATAAATTTATTACTGTGATACTTTAAATAAAAAAACATAAATATGCATGCATAAATTTATTAATTAAAATAAGACCAAGTATTTGTTAGCCCCGGATTAGGGGCCTATTTGGTTTCAAAAAATATATTTCTATCCTGTATACACACGTTGGATAGGCAGGTACATATACACTGACTAGCAACATCCCCAACTTAAATGGCAAATTAGCAAGTGTTACTTCATATTCAAATGGAAACGACCTTGACGTAATTTACCACTGCACTTACATTGCAAATAAATTTCTTTTCAGTATTTTAATAAGTAATATGTGGGGTTGTTGTGGATTTTTTCGAAATTGATGATTTTGTGAATAATAGATACAGACTGCAAAACGCTTATTGTCTACCAGCACAAAGAAATCTTTAGAATATCGTTCTTATGTTACCAAAAATAAACTACATGAATTTGACAAAAATTTAAGAAAGTGACACTTTATTTGCAGACAAACAAAAAATATAAAATGTATACGTTGTCTGTCAGTTGTTTAGTCAGTTGTTTGTGCTAAGTTTTTTTTTTTTTTTAATAACTCTTATGTCCGCAGGCAATAATTATTTGTGAGCTATTGTTATTAAGCTATTGGCAATTTCAATAATTATTGCACAAAAAAATATTTCCGTAAAAAAAAATTTCATATTATTTTGCTTTAAAAGCAGCAACAGGCCACTTGCAATACTTCTCAATAAAATAATTTGCGAAATTAATGCATTTAAATAACAAAACAACAAAAAATAATTGTCCTCCAACGACCATTTGGCGCACAGGGCTTCATTTGCTAACTACAACATATAATCGATTACCACGAAAATCGTTTAATCCAAAAGTGCAATGAAAATATTAGCTGGACTGGCGCGACTCGCTTTTTAGTGAGCTATACGAAAAAAAGGAATGGACTGCGTTTTATAAAGTTTGTTGTAAACTATATTCAAGATGAAGTTTAGTTTTCAAGTAAATTGTATTAATTTTTGGCAATAATGGTTGCACTTGTTTGACGTTTTCTGTAAATGTCAGAAAAAAACAAAGTAATCTTGATAAAAGTTATAAAAAGTAAATAAGACCTTTCTGATTCGTAAGCATTGAAACAAATTATAAGGCTAAATTCGTAATAAAATACGTGACCAAAAATTTAAAGTTAAGCCTATGAAAAAAAGGTTTTGCGATGTAAATGGTACAAAAATATTAGAAAAACCTTTGTAAATATTTAGTGTCGAATTCACGGATAATTAACGAAATGATGGATGATAATTTATGGTAAGCTGTAATGGAATTTTTGTAGTTTGAAATTTCTTATCCATATAGGTATTTCACGTAAATTTGACGATAAACGCATTTGGGACGCATTTTATTTTGGTGGATTAAAAACGTTATTGCTTGCTTTTACTCAATGTTTGTTTGCTCTCATATACTGGATTAGCTATTTAAGCATTGTAATACTCATAATCTTGGAAAGAGTTTTCATTTCAAATATTTATACATTTATAAATAGTACATGTACCATATTGCTGACAAAATTTTTTTTCAGGCTTATTGAGTTAGAGTCAGCGCTCTTAGATGACTGTAATGTTAACGACATATATGCTATTTGCCGAGGCAAAGCTATTCCCGAATCGTTGCGTCCTGACGTGTGGCAAGTGTGCCTCGATGTGCGTCACAAAAGCGATCAAATGTCGTTGTTCAATGAAATTTTTGATTTACCTTTTCAAAATACGTTACGTGAAGACTGTCAAGCGATTGTGGATCGAATTGGAAATGATGATGAAGACAAAGTTTCAGTAATTTCCGATTTGGAATCGATCCTCACATTTTATTGTAAAAATCGAAATTTTTTGTATGAAAGTGATAATGGTTGGATAGAATTATTATTACCTTTGTTGGCACTAAAGTTGAATCGCTCTGATACATACAACCTATTCGAGGCAATAAGAGACATATACATACCCAAGGGTTGCAAACCAAAAGGCAACGTGTTTCACGTTTTTCGCTTACTCATACTATATCATGATCCTGAATTATGTACAATGTTAGATACGAAAAAAATTACACCAGATCTGTACTCAATGCAATGGTTCCGATGTTTGTTCGCTTCGAGCTGCAGCCTTACCGTCATTCTCTCGATGTGGGATTTATATTTTCAGCATGCAGATCCCTTTATGGTTTTCTTCTTGGCATTGATTATACTTGTTAACGGGCGTGACTTAATATTAGAAATGAAAGATGCAACAAAAGAAGATTTAATAAAATTTCTTTCTAATATGCCTTGCGCTTTAGAACCGGATGATGTAGTTGACTTTTGTTCGTTAGCTCAATACTACTCGCTTAAAACCCCTAGTTCATTCAAAACAGACTTTTTAAAAGCGCTTTACGGTTCGCAATGTGAAAAGACACCTCACATTGAACCCTGCAGTGTTTCCCAGGTAAGTAAACAAATTAAACATAATGTAAGACACATACTAAAATGTAGACTTCTTAAAATTAAAATAATTATTAAAACTTAATTATAATTATAGATGTCGTTAACAAATAATTCCAACAAATGTTATTTATGTATGTGTTTTTTCTAGGCTTTGTGTCTTCCAGTTTCCGTCTATGAATTAGTAGAGAATTCATCTTTAGAATTAAATACATCTGACACAGTGCGTTTTTTCTTGGTTGATTGTCGTCCAGCAGAACAATACAATGCCGGACACCTTTCCACGGCATTTCATCTTGATTGTAATTTAATGTTGCAAGAACCCCTGGCTTTTTCTACGGCGGTACAAGGGTTGTTAAATGCACAGCGCCAGGCAATTGAAGCAAATTCTAACGCGGGAGGTGAGCACCTTTGTTTCATGGGAAGTGGCCGGATGGAGGAAGATCAATATACACATATGGTAGTCGCTTCATTTTTACAAAAGAACACTCAGTACGTATCGTTACTGACTGGAGGTTATATGTCCATTCACGATTATTTTGGAGACCACATGGCAGATTGTCTAGAGGACCATAATGTTAAAAAATGCATTGTTTGTTCTAAAAATAGTGTAGAACTTAGGAATTCATTAAGAACAATACAAACACAAGAGGTATTGAAATAAATATTAAATAATGTGTAACCTTTTTAAATTAAAATTATTTTTTAAGGATAAACGAGATCCTCAACCACGACCAACCTCCGATATTTTTAGTCGATTTTCTGCCGTAATGAAATTGAAATCTTCTGAAGTGAAGGATAAGCTTTTCGATATCATAACAAATCCAGCAAATGGTGTAGGTTCCGCTGCCAATGCCCATTCGAATTTGGGTCAGACTACCATTCAACATCGACATGTTTCGGCCACTGAACGCAATGGAAAGCGGTATCGCAATGTAGCACCGGTATTTAGCATTGATGACGAGAATGATGACCATTATAACGAAAACGAAGTGAAAGATTCACCTGATTCGGTCAGTTCGAAATTGGCTGGTGATGCTAAAGAAATTGTCAGTTTAACTCAGTATTTAAAGTCGCCAGATATAATTAATGCATTCCGGTGTCAGGAAGTTCACATGAATGGGTATATGTACGATAGTCATTTAATAATTTCGGCTACACACTTGATTGTATTACGAGAACTTGGACGCGGGCAAGCTCAGATTATAGTTCGACGTCCCCTATCAAGTATAGTTAAAATAACTGCAAAGAAACGCCACCGCGATTTGATCACATTTAAATACGGATTCCCTGATGGAGATGGACTACTTATAACTGACATGGACCGATTTCTTATTCCGAACGCCAGTGAAGCTACAGCAATTGTATCAAAACACATTGTTCAAACGCTAGACGGCTCTAAATTAACGTAATGGAAAATTACCGCATTATATTTACATCAAACAGCTAATTGCATTGAGTGATGAAGATTTATAGGTTTTGTTTATTTTGTAAAAAAACGTATTATATATAATATAAACATATAAAATTTAAAAAACATCAATATGTGTATGCCATAAAGAAGCTTTTAACAGATGCTTTCTTTTATTATTTTTTCTACTTACTCGGGACTATTTAGCATAGAAATGTATTATTTATAAAAAATTTTTGGAATATTCTGCGATAACAATCAAGTAATAAACTAAGCGAGATGAGTTTGTATTCGTACAATACATTTTGACAAGCAACTTCCGAATTACAGACGCATTTAAGTTCCGCCTAGCCACATTATACTTACCTATATTTATTTAAAATTATACTTCAAAAGCTTACAACTGTACTCCAATTTTTTTAATGCGATGTGATTGTATTTTATATAGAATTGTCTTTTCGGATGAACTGGCAATAAATATTTTAATGTAAGCATGTGTATAAATATATATATATAATGCTTCGTGAACGTGAACTTTTTATAAAAGTAATCATACAACTACCAAGCAAACAATATACATATGTATGTTCGTACTAGTGTAATATGTACAAGTAATATACATCAGAGGCACTTAAACACTGTCTCAAACAAAAATTCATTAGATAAGTTAAAATAAAAAAAAGCAAGGTTTTGCGGATTCCTATGTACGCGTCTTAACCTGTTTAATGGTGTGAAATAAGTAAAAGCTTAGGCAAGGCAAATAAGAATATACATACGTACATGTTATTAAAATGAATATGATTGTCCATAGAGATATATATATTTATGGGAGGATATGGCATACGACCATTGGTCTATAAGATAATATGTTTGAATCTTCTAGTGTTGCAGCCGTCTATCAGTTGTTTTGAGTGTCTGATTCCTTCGCTACTGTACCAGTACCTATATTTTATTTCTTTTTCCTCTTATCTTATTTCCTCTTTTATTGTGTGAGGGTCTAACGGTAAGAATATTTTTGGTCCCGTTGGCGGGGCTGCGAAGCTGCTTCTTTCGCGAGATTGTCTGCTATTTCGTTTCCTTCAATACCTGTATGTCCTGGAATAGTTTTTTGACACATTCCCATACCATCTGTGATTTTATTGTGTTGTTTAATTGGTGATCTGCTTAGTATGGTTTCTGCACACGAGGTTATGGCGAATACTTCTGCTTGGAAGATGCTGGGGTATTTACTCTTGGGATAGTACATATAAATCGCCTAGTCCAGTAGAGCAGATCGTTTACTACTCGGCTCCATAGAAGAGGGGATAGTACTCCTCATTGAGGGCATCCTCTTGTTGTTCTTATTTTGACGGTTTCATTATCCGCTAACCTATTTTTAAGCATGAAGTTTATCCAGTTTCTAACTGGTGCTTCGATGCGTTTCTTATGTACGGCTCTGTTGTCGGCCTCGTAGGAGGTATTGTCAAATGCTCCTTCTATATCTAGGAAATCGCATAGTGTTATATCCTGCATTGCATATCTTAAAATGTCAGAGATGGAATAACGCTGTATTAGTTGATTTACCTTCTCTATATGCATGTTGTGCAGGGTGTAAAGATATTTCTCTTAGAGTGTATGTGGTTGTCAATAATCTTCTCCATAGTCTTTAGGTTAAAGGATGTTAAATTTATTGACCTGAAAGATTTGGCTGTTTCCTTTTCTTAGCCAGTTGTGTGTTCCACCATGGGGCACCTCAATACGGTTATAATAACTGTTCTAAGTTTTATAATACTTTCATCCATATTTTACACTAGGAATAAACGATATATATATTCTTTCATTTAAATATTATACTGTTGTTGAGATGTTCTACCTTTATAAAACATACTGAATTTTTCACATTTGGAACACACATACATTTTTTGTGTCCAAATAACAGAATAGATCTTTAATGCGCTCTGTAAAGTTAAATTAGTTGATAAATAACCAAACGAGATTTATATGTGTTAGAGCAGGTTGTGTTAGAAAGCGTAACAGGAGAACAAGTAGTGACGGGCTAAGTTCGGGTATAACTGAACATGTTATACTCTAGAAATTTGCAAGGATTGAAGCAGGGGGAATACTATAGAATATCCAATATAAAATGCCCTCACCCAATTTTGCTAAAATGTCTTACATTACAAGATATCTTACATATAATATTAACATTATGCGGTATAAGGCCAACCGAAAGTTCGAAATTGATATATTAGGTACATGAGAACTAAAAGTACTATTGAACATATGTATCCATTTTTGGTATCACGAAATAGTATTACCACAAAAATATGCTCTCTGATTTTCATTGAAACACCTCACAGATTGATTAATATTTTCGCCATAGGACTGAGGTCCACATATTTGGTATCGGGGGACTTAAAAAGCTATCGTCTGAATTGGAAAATTTTTTTTAAAAGGTTGCCTTAAAGAAATTTGTAAATAAAAGGTTCAGATAGAATTCAGAAATTGTGATATACTCGAAGTAGGCTTGACTGTAGGCTGATTTCGCCAGTTTTGCACTGTGGCATTAAGATACAAATATAATATTACGCACCAAACTTGGTTCAAATTGATTGAGTAGTTGCTGAGAGACGGGATTTTATTAAAAAATAGGCGGAGCTACGCCCATAGGGTATTTACACGTGCCATTCCCTGCCTCTTTTACAGTAACAGTTACGTTTTCTGAGTTTTTTTCATCAACGAGTTAATCATCCGATTTCGTCTATTTTCATATTGTATGATGCTAGAGAAAAATGTGCTCTGCAAGTTTAGTGGACATAGCTTTAGCCATTTATCAAAAATTTGGTAACCATGTATGTATGCTCCTATCTAATGTGATCCTCTTTACGAAATGATATTTCGCTTAATGACTGTCGGAGGATGTGGCGATTGGCAACCTCCTCAGATTGCATGTAGCAATTTTAAAGTTGCCGCTTTCACCAGAGTATAATAGTTTTTTTTTTTTTTTTGATATATGTATATATAGGTATAATGCAATATTATCTCTATTAGTCTTATGTGTACCAAAAATCGTTAGGCAAACAAAACTATTGTACTCTGTATCACATGTTGCGCGAGTATAAAAATCAGCGAATTATTATTCAATATATATTATATATGTATATGTATGTATGCATACAAATATGGGACAATCATTTTTTGCAGCACCACATCAAAGGGGATCTATAATCTCGTCATTTCAAAGTTTTATGTTGAAGTGAAGAGATTAGTAATAGAACATTCAAACATACATATACATATGTACTTGTAAATATTTATGACGGTTTTTTATATAAAGCTAGAAAACATGAATTCAAATCGGGGGGTTCGAGTGGCTCGGATAGCAAGTAAACAGGAAAAAAGCTCCAAACCACTGTGAATTTGAATAAGTAAAAAGCCCGGAATATGTTTAAGTGCATGCGCAATGAATCTACATACATGCAACGTGTTGGAAATAAATTCTTATCAATGACGTACGTAGAAACGTTTTTGGGTGACCAAAGAGATGAGGGTTGGCGGTAATCGGAGAAAGCTGCATAAACATACACTGTTGCATTCGAGCAAGACGCCCTCGCCTGTAAAGTCGTTAAATATCTACACTCACAATCTCACTCTGATGACAGTGCACAAAGGCGCAGGATCAAAAAGGATTTTCGACGCCCGCACTGGAAAAAACGAGGTCAGTTCAATAAAAATTGTTGCGCCTACAGCAGAGACATCAGTTCATTCAGAGCACCGGAGCTATTAACATCGTCACTTAGAAAAGACTAAAACTCAAAGACTATAGCAAAAACTCAATCATAGTGATCAAAACAAAAAAAGGGTAAAAGTTTAATTATTTTTTTCTCGTATATATCACAACAAGTGATTTTTCGAAATAAAAAATAAAAAGGTAGACTACACAAGTCAACATGAGCTGCGGTAAATGTTTACATCATACTTTTAATTTGGCTTTCGTACTTGGATTTTTCGTTGCGGCCGCTGTGGCGGTTCCCACTTCAGTGCTGGTGCAGAACTCCGAAGTTACATCCAACATCAATGCTGCTAACAATGGGCACAATTTAATGACAAAAGGTTAGTAAGTGCTGCATATAGAAACAAACACACGAAACAGCGCAAGATTATAAGTCATTAAATTAAGCGACACATATGTTAAAATAAAGAGAGTCGTGGCTCGCTGTCAACAGGTGATTTTCCGAACATTATACACATGGTTCAGAAGTTTTATGTTTTTATTTCAAGCGATGTGTACTTAACTAGCAGTTTCAAGTGTTTATCTTCACAAAAATTGTGAAGGTGTAATTTAATTCTTAGTGAATATTTATAATACATGATTTTTAGAGAGACCTCTTCAAACGCTTTGCCTTATATTACTCAAAATATTTGTTTCGCCCATTGCCTTCCCCACAACTTTTTTGCTCAAACATACTGATAAGGACATTCCATATTGCTGCTGATGCCCATTGATGTTAAGAGCGTAGTTTACGTTGACGTGGGCGATGACGCTCCTATTGAGAGCGCTGTAGAGGGTGGATAGGTTTCTATTTATAGAACAGTACACAATTGCTGCAGCTTTTCATTATTTACAAAGCCTGTAGCAAGTAAACACCATAACTTGTGCGAAGCAGTTAAAGCGAAAACCCACTTTATAAGCAATGAAAATTCAACAATAACCAGCAATTTTGATTGTTTAGCCATTGCAATTTTTGCATAAGGCAAACAACACGATACTCTTATGTGTACATACATGTATACATATGTACGCATAGGCATAGTTTATTCGTCCAATTTTTATAAATGAATATTTTTTTATACATTTGCATGTCATACATTTGTAAGTAAATGAGGATGGCTACTTTCGTTATATTTAAATTCAAGTCATTGAATAACACTTGTATATGCTTTTCACTTACACACCTCTGCAGGCGTGTAACTATTACAATATATGTATGTATATGGCACAAATATTCATCATACGCCATGTTGATATATTAGCGTTTCAATTTTCATTAGAGTCCAACAACGACAGGATATCGTTTCAATTTTTAAAACCAAAACTATTGCTATTTGTCAGAACCTGGTAATTATGTTAAAAAAAATATATATTTTTTTGTGCTTTATATTAATATGAGTACATGTGCAAGAATTTCATCAAATATTATTTTAATATGCATAGATATTTACATGTAAATGACAATTTTTGTCACCATATGGCTAAGAAAGCTACATTTATTTTTAGACCAATAACCAAGCATATAGATACTCACTAATTTTCTTACATGTGTATGCATGTGGCTTGGTTGCCTGTTCCAGTTTCCCACATGAATATAAGACTATCTCTGCATTGAACACTAACAAAAAGTCAACAACGTATGGCTTTTTATGACTGAAACCTGTTATTATTTATGCTATCATTATGTGTTTTATTTATGACTTTAATCAGAATAATTGCGTTTCGAAAAGCGGTGCATTAATTAATATTTTTGTATGGGTATTGTAGTGGTTAGAGGTGCACACCAAAACCATGCGGAGCCAAAAACGCTCTTCATCCCGGTGCTTTCAAGGGTTTAACGTCTCGGCAAATATATATATTTGTATAAACGTTACATTTGTAAATATGAAATGTGTCTGGCAAGCTATTTGCGATTGGAGGACCCTACTGTCGAACCCTACCCGATAACAAGTGGAAAGAGAAAAAATTCCAAATTCATCACGCATTGACTGATCAAAGTCGCTAGAATATAAGAAGGAATGCTAATGGAAGTTATCGTATAATGAATTAAATAGTCTAATTCAATTACTGAGGTTGGAAATGATAGGGTATCTTCACGAGAACGCAATGCCGCTAAGCTTATGCTCAGTAATGGGTATCTAATTTAATACAACTGACATCAACCGCATGTGCCAGCGGATGGAAAGCGTCTAAGCAAAATAATTACACAAATAGAATCCAATGCCCATACATATTTGTATATGTATATAATTGAATTCACTACTGCGTATGTCAGCATCTACATAACTACTTGGACACAGTTAACGTCCGACTGCAACAGCAAGTTATCAACTCATTAGTAATGGCGTTAATTGCATTTACATTAAATTACGTTGACATTTTTCTAATAAACATTGGGGAGCAGTTAGGATTCGTTATGAAGTTTAGTAACTCAACATAAGTCGTGTATTACAAATATGAATGTACTTTAATAGTTCAGTAAACGGCTAAAAAAAGGGAAAAGTCGAGCGTTAAATCCGGTGTCTTCAGCTGGGCTTGAGAGTTATTAAGGATATTAACCTATATTCATACATATTTATTTGAATGTATGTATTTACATATCAGTATATATAAATTGCGTGTCACGTTGTTTGTCCGGGATAAACTAATGATAATGACCGATTTAATAAAATTTAGAACATTGTGTTTAGTTTGATCCAACATAAAATATAGAAATATAGGATAGTTCATATCTTAATTATGTTAAAAGTAAAACAATTCATAAATAAAAAAATATGTTTCTAAACATAAGCATCTTTTCAAAATCAAAAAAAAAAAATTATTATAATTTAGCAAAAATGCCCGAGAAATCAAACCTCAACAATCACTCGAAGCGTTGCACTGAACAATGCAAGATTTGAACCGCTACAATAAACCTTTCGGCGGTACTATCTTACAATTGTCTAGTGATTTTCGTCAGTGTGCGTGTTTAAAACTATAATTATTATGACGAAAAAACTTCGATGACCAATTATCTATAATAAATTATGTTCAATTTTAATCCCGTGTGTTTTAAGACTGTCTATAAGCTTTTCGTCTTCAATCATAAATAAGATTTTTACTCTATTTAACAGCTACTATAATATATACAATTTATGTCACATATGTATGTATTCTTAGCCGCAGCAAAGCGGGACTGGGATTTTCTCGAAAATATATATATATAAACGCGAATTATATGCTCCATCAATTGAATTTATTTGTCACCGTAAATAGCGATTTGAGTAGTTATTATAATGAGCTCGTCTAGTAAGTACATAAATTCGATTAATAAAAAGCTCTCTTGAAGTGGAAATTCGCACCCCCACACCAGTCTGATATTCCATACTATAAATGTGGACATAAAAAGCAAACATATAATGTATATACATATATTCTACTCTAATTAATAATTAGAAAAATAGCTAAAGCGTGAAATTTGCAAAGACTTTATTATTAATTGGCAGCTGAAGGTAAATCGAATGCTCAAAAAATAAACTATGATAAATACAATAATAAAAGTAATATTGCCACCTCTCCCGCAATAGAACCAGCAAATTTGTTTCATTTTCGAAAAATGCATTACTACAAAACGACGTGGTCTGAAAGGCATTTGGGAACCAAATATTTAAACAAATTAAAGGAAAATACATCTACTTATGTATATTTAAAGATTTTCTGCGAAATTTCTTATACCAACTGATATTAAACTAATTAACGTTTCCAGTTACTTACCAACACATTGGACATATCATAAAAGCACATAAACAGATACAAACTTTAATTATTGATAAAGACACTTCTTCACAAATTCAATGCTGTTCAAATACATTACAAATTTAAAATTTTAGCTGGCAAAAATGTACATGCAAAGTTCTCATTATAGTTATGTACATAGGATTGCAACTGCAGGATATCAATTTCCGTAGATTTTGAACACTATTTCCTCGCCGATTCGACGACTTGTATAAAAACAAATGATTTAGCGTTTCGATACTGCACATTGGAATGCATACTTTACATTGCCTATAACTGTATGGGCAATTTTCTTCAAATGTACTAGCAGAAAACGCTTCCGATTTCATTGAAGAAGTATGGCAATAAAGACACCAAAAAGCTGAGGGCTGTAGGAAAATTTGTAACCGGAATAATTACTGAGCGTAAAAACTGCATTTTTAAATTTACCATGTATATATATATGGTTTATCATTTTCAACTTTTTATTTTGTTAAAAGTTAAATTGTATTGCATAATTCAAAATAATAACGCCACCAATTTTAACAGTAAAACGCTCTTCCACCGACGTAAATGGAATGATGACCAAGGAAGCTATCAACAACGAGGTCTCTACAACGGCAAATAAAAAATCTAGTCCCGAAGTTCTTCCGCCGGCCTTTAATGTGCCAACCAACCACCAGCATTTGGAAAATGGTGGCAAAGATAGTGGTGACAACAATTCAAACTCTATTGCTTATGTTCAGTCAGCTGGCACAAACTCGATGCCATCGAATGAAAATATTATAAATTCCGCCATCGCTGCTGGCCTAACCGCTGCGGCAGTACAAGCAGCTGCAGCGACAAGTCAACACGAACTGGAACAACAACCATGGAAGCAACAGGCAAAAGTGTATGGGGATGAAACTCCCAGCGTTTTGCAAAAGCGAGGTATTTCGAATCCACAATACCTCTATGGTGCAATGGGTATAGGAGGGCCCTATGGATCTGGCAGTGGAAGCAGTAGTGGTAACAGCATATACGGCAGTGGAGAATACTACAACAATGCATATTTGAATAATCCTATGCAAGTTAGTAGCGGAGCTGAATTAGAAACGGTGCCCACTGGCTTTTGGGCAGATGAAATGGATCCTTCAGTTGTCTACACTGATATACAGGATGATGACTTTTTGAGCGCACCGAGAGGTAAATACTTAAAAGCCAAATATTGTTTGCAGCGGATTTGCTGATTTTTGACTTAAAGTAAATATTTTAAATATTGCATTAAGCAATTCATAAGCATTTCATTACAGTTCTCTGTCGTGTGAATAAATTAGAAATAAAATTATTGTATTATTCACTAATTTCTTTTTTAATATTATGCAATATTCATCATACTGCTTATAAACACTTCAGCAACTTCATATCGCAGTAAAGCTTACGACAATTTACAAAACATCCTCAACGCTGAGGCGTATCCAGTGCCACAGACGCTACACACGAGCCGGTACTATGGCGCCAACAATGCTAATAAGCGGACAAATAGATATGACAACAACAACAATAGCGGCGTCAGTGGCAGCAGCAGTGGCCGATTGGCTGATATGAGGTAAGGGAAGGCTCTGCAGATTAATAGATTGGTTTTAAATATTAAAATTATAAGAGATTTGCTTTTAACAGAACAATTTTTTAACATGTTAACGTGTCTATATTCAAAACGGTTAATATTAACGCTGATTTATAAAATACTTCATAATTAATCGATTTTTTGAAGACAACTAAATATAATGTGTCTATTCGTTTGCAATATTTACACACAAATTCGCCGATCTTTACATATATCTGCAGGTTTGACTAGTACAAATTTGTGGCTTTTCACTAGTGACTACTTGTAGTACATCTTAAAAGTACGTAGGAAACTTACGACACTGAAGTAGTCCAGCGGATCAATAGTTCTTGAGAGAGAATGGGAGAAAAGAGAATATGATCTACAATTCTAAATTTTTCTATATGAACTCTCAATGTTTATCAACAAAAGCGCCGACTTTTTTTAATACATACATATCTACATATATATGTTTATATATGGACTAATGTGTGTTTTCTATTATGTTTGTCAAATTCTATGACGCTTAATCGACAGTGGTAAAATTTCAATAAGATGTGTTTTCAATGCGTAAAGAAGAGTGATTCAAAAGCTAAGAAACTGTCGTAGATTTATAAAACATTTACTAATATATTTAGTAGCGTCTTCTTTTCTGGATTTTCCGTAAATTCTTGGTGAAAGAGGCTAATAAAATTTACTAGCTGTATATTTTTGGTGTAGCAAAGTACCCGGACGAATCTCTGGAATAAATATGTATATATTATACACGTTGCTTCATTGAAGACTCGAAAAGTGGACGGACCACTTATAAAAATGTTTTTTTTTTTTAATTTAGAATATACAATAATACTAAATATTAGAATGATTTAAATTTGAGTAATAAGAGTATACGTATAACTGAATATATTTTACGTTAAAACCAGTAACTAAAAGATTTTTTTTTAACGATCTATCCCCTAATGTACATACTTCGATTATATAGTCAACATAGCGTATGAGTAACATTGATACATTCACTTGATTTGATTTATGTTTCTTATTGTTCATCGGTTAACAACAATTAGAAGAATATATACCAAAAATATAGCAAAGATGAAAAGAAATTATTGTTTTGAAATTAAAGACATAGAAGGCCTACCTTGGTTTGGAACTGAATGCAGCAAGATAAATTAAGTATAGATTTATTAGAATGACGTTTGTGATTGCATTTTAAGTTTAAGGCTTCAATTAGGAATATATTTTTAGATGGTATATATATAAACATTTTCGAAAACACTTATAGCAAAAATATTTTTCAAAATTTAGGCTAAAGCGAGATACTAAACTCACACCAGCAGATATGCTGGCTTTGGTTGCACTGGTAGAAGCAGGCGAACGTGCACGGAAGGAGCCCGAAACCGATACAAGCAACGGATACATGTACCCATCGAACGGCATTGCTGGTCCTTCAGAGGCTTATAACACCTATAACGGTTTTAAAACGTACTATCCAATTTCAGCTGGCGCCTATGATTATCCAACCAATATAGATGCAATAGACAACGGTGGTTCGTGGTTAGAACCAAACATGATAGATTACTACGGTGCGTCAACAAATGTAGAAGCAATACCTAAATACGAACTGCAAAGAGAACAAAAATACGGTGGAATACTACCAAGTGGTAATGGAAATCGTAAGGCTTCCGGAAACCAAATAATGACATGAATTAAGTTTATCAATATAAGCGGATTTTCTTTTATGTTGCAGGTTATGGAGTTAAGCGCTTTATGGTTTCCAAAAAGAAGCGATCAATGGGCAATTTTCTGAACGAACCGGTTTCCAAACCCAGCATTGGCTATAATGTCAATAGCGAAAAGTTTTACTAAAGTTTAAGACACTTTAAAAATTTTCCACGCTTGTGGAAGAAATTATTTTTTGAAATGGATCAAAGAGGTCTAATTATTTGCAGACTACTACAATATAATCGAAATAAACATATTTGTGTACTATCATATTTTACTTAGAAATAAAATATAAGGAATTTCAAACATACATACATACATACCTTTATACATATATATCTGTGCTTATTGTATGTATTTGGCAAGTTTAGACGGCAATTATGTGTACAGGTAATAAACATGTAATTAGAAGATGGAACAAATGGTTAAAATGGTTCAACGATTATTCGTTACGATTTATTAATTAAATTAGGGAGAATACACTAAAACGTATATTATTGGTTTGTGCTAAGTACACAGCTAAGTAATTATAAGAAATATTCCAGATGTTGCGGTATTGATTGTATAATTTCAAAAATCTTTGTTTGACAAATATCGGTATGTGAATTATTTCTTCTGTTATGGACCTCTTCAATACCTGCTTTGAAAAAAAAAATTATAACTCATATATACCCAGATACTGTGTACTACATATGTATTTCTTTATATGAATATATGTAATTGGTGAAATCACAAAGCACCAGAATACTTTTCTCCACTAGAGTTTTAGCAGCTATTACTCTAATATATGTACATACAAATGTACATGCAATTATAAGAAAATGTTAAATAGTTTACTTTATAAAATCTGTATAATGCAAAGTAAAATATTATATGTGAACTCTATGAACCAACACAATGTAAATCTTAAATAACCGAAAGGCTTGTAACGGCTCAGAGCATATTAAAAAGATTATAATTAAATAAAATCAACAGAAAAACGTTAAATAATCAGTGTGATTTCAAACAAAAGTTAACCCATACATTGTCTAACTGGTCAACTCATGCATCATTTTCCAGCTTTAATGTACTCCAGTATTTACCTTTAAGTAAATTTAGTGCGGATTTCCTTGTTTTATTTGTCTACATAAATATACATAAATACATAGAGATATAGCATAAGCAAGTAAATTCTCTTATAGATGTACATACATATGTACAGATTATATATATACATGTGCTAACATAATTTAAGATAATAATATAATTCTCAAAGTCTTTTCCAATTCAGCATATGAAAGAAATTAAAAACTGTAAACTTTGTTATTTATTACTTTCTCAGATTTCAGTTGTATTTTTTGTAAAGATTTATTGAACCTTCCATATCTTGACCCTTTGTACTTTTGTAAAATAAGCGGTATTAATGAAAATCAGTTTTTAAGCTTTACTTCAAATAAATTTGAACAACCACTTCAGTTCAAATATCAGTATGTAGTTTACTTCATATTTTCTGTACAGTACCAGGTCAAAGGGGTCTCATATTTTATTAAGAGTCCTGAGGAGTGGTGGGGTTCAATGAACTTATCTTCATATATCATATTTTTCTTGTCGGAAATTTACTAAAGCTTAAGGTTTGACTATCTAGACTACATGGTTGAATGATTGTTTCATTAATGCCTAGGTCTGGGCAAGCAACGAAGTGCGAATGAACATACCTATGGTATAATAACAGTGAATACTACAACTATCTTCTAGAAACATGTGGAATTGGTATATATCATTCTTTGGGTGAGCAACTTTCACTTAATATAGTGGGATGGAGTACCCTAGAAAAATTAAATAGAAGAAGTCGGTCTATGCATTCATGTTGAACCAATCGACCAAATATTAAGATATTCATCCTTTCGGTTGTCCTAGTAGCACATAGCATGTTAAATATATGGATATGTTTGCGGTCGACTTTGTGTGTACATTTCAAAGTCAATCTATCAAACTTAAAAATGATCGTACTAGAAGAAGCCGCTCATTTGTGGAACCACCGATATCAGACCACTATAGCATACAAACTGACCTATCTAAATCAAGATAAATTTATTTATAACAAATATTTTTTCTTTATTGGGTAACGTTAACTCGGCTTGAATGTTGTTTATATCAAACAACCTGGGAATGAAGAACTAACAAAACGGTTTCCTTTTTCGATTTAAAATTGGTGAAATTGTGAATTTCGCAACGTTACTCTGACTCTTAAATCACATTTCCCATATCCACATTTGTTGTAGTTTGTTGCTACAGTGGTAATTTGCTGTGAGTCAAAAATATATGCAATCATTTTCAATTGTGTGTGTGCTCAATGAATGCGCAAAACAAGCAGCTGTATGCTATTTTGTTACGTGCAGTTTTAAACGTCACAAAAGCCACGAAAGCAAATACAACGCTAGCATATACACTTTTGTACAACATACCCGGTTTAATTTGTCCCAATCAACATGTGGTTAAGAGAATCTTTTGCTCTCTTTAACTTTCTACACTTTTATACAAACCTCTCAGTGACATTGAATTCATTCACAAATATTAGGTTCATCACATATCCAAATACGTTTATACACGCATGCATATTGGTATGATATATGTGTGTCTTCAAATTTAAAGTACATATACAGATATGTATGTACTTTGTATTGTATAGTTATATAATTTTTGTGGAGTTTTCCATTGGGCTGTGTTAACTCTTAGTATTTTGAGCACTAACCTTTAAATGATGCACAAGACACCTATTGTACCGAAAAAAATTAGATCTTCATTACAAAACATTCACCGTCAGTATTTTCAACATAACTGATATAACCTGTACCATAAAATAGTACATTGACAAGCATAAAAAACTATTGCAACGAAAATCTAAAAAAATTAATTTATAACGAATTGATATCAATAATAGAACAATCAAAATAAATTTGGAGCACATACATATATACGTGATCACTTTATGAAAATAGAAGTGAATTTTTCAATGTGACCCTTTAAACCAACCCATAAAATTGTCGCATAAAATGAGATATTGAAGCAGCATCTACATGCTTCGAGTGTGGCACACAAACATCCCAAAAAGCACTGAGTTTTTTTCAATTAGGTTCACGCCTTAATACAATATAATAACTATTATTTAATTCAGCCATTCACAAATGTCATCACGCCAAAAATATAAGACACACTTCCATACATACATACAAACATATATATACACGAATGATGCGCAAAGAGATCTGCTGTATTTTATGTCAGTTCTACATTTCCTTGAATATATTCATTAAAACCATTCTACATATTTAGGCTTTTAGTGCATTTGCAAAGTCTCCACTTACATACCTATATGTATATTTCAATATACGTAAATATTACACAGTTTTCCCAGTTATTGCTGTCTGATCAGATGAAAAGCGAATTTACTATACAGTTGTCAAAAGAAGAACAATTTTATTCGGACGAGATGGTCAAATAACAGTATTTACCATATATGGTTCTTTGTTTTTGAATATTTTTGAGTAAGCAATTCAAAAATGACTTCGTAATATATGCAAATTTGCAAATTTTAAATTCCCTGTTACGGTACGAACCTACATAAATACAAAAGCAACATATTAAGTACGTAAACATATGCAAATGTTGTCAATTGACCACTTGTGGGTCTCCAACTTTAAACTTGAACGCTTAGCGAGTAAAATCATTCAATACCCTTAACAGAGTATAACTTTAGTAATTATCTTATATACAGATATATATGTTTTTATATGGTATACACATGTATATGATTGATTTTTCGCACATTCACACGCATCTCTTTATGGACCAGTAGCAAACAAAAAATAGCAGTTAAAAAGTAAGTTTTGCCTTGGGACTCGGCTATGCAGTTAAATTTATTGTAGCAAAATTCTCCGGCAATACGCGTAGTTCTCCTATGAAAGTCATCGTCATGAGACATCTTTGATCTCACTATGTTTTCGGTTAGGAATTTAAGTGCGTTACGCATGAATGATGAAACGGAGGTCATTGCATCATGTTGGAATTTTAAGGAACAACTATTAATTTTTCCTATTGAGTGACTCCCCAGTACTATTATATACTATGCAATTTCCTATGAGATCGCGCCTGCGTCGTCAAGTGTACGTGTGATTTTACAAACGATTATACATATGTAAGTATCCATACATTTATGGAAGTTACTGGCAGTTTTTGTCAATTTACTAAACCAAATTTGACACGTTTGTGCAAATTATAAAATATCTGATAGCTAGTAATTGATTTTAAAATAATTTTGTTTGTCCACGGCGGTCATAAATACTGAAAGCGAGGAGCAAATAAAAATACATAGGCATAGTATGCATGTACTACATAATATAATTGTGTTTCGGTTCCAAATATAAAAGTATTATATATATGTACAGTTTGGGAATATAAACAAAATTATGCACTACTCTTATTTTAAACCGCTAATCATATATAAGTATGAATAGGCGCTTCAGCTTGAAACCCTTGTTTACCCTTACACTGGAAAAAATTTTCGAGTAATGCACATATGTATATTGAAGTATATATGGATACGCACATATATATCTACACATTCAAATTTGGAACCATATAAACATATGAGTATCTGCGGGCGTATACCAGCAGATGTTGCACACCATAATATTTTTCTGACGCCGAACTGTCAGATACCGAATATCCAAAAACGTATTGAACCACCACAATTTAGAAGAAATAATTTTTATTTATTTATATATATGTACAAGTATATTGGCTGAATAGAAAGCGCGGGTGCCAGTGAAGAATATATGTAACTCGTGCAAGACAAGAGAATCGTCAATGCTGCCGACCGGTTCTGGATACACTCGTACATTTACCAAACAAAAACTTGGCCGCACCTCAGAGAGTCTACTCAGTTTGTGTAAAACAGTCGCGCCGCTTCTAACAGTTGAGGAGCGCTAACAAAAAGTTGAACTGTTAAGGAATAACTACGTGAAGACTACGAAGTAAATATCGCTTGAGTATTAAAATACTTTTATTGAAAATAATGTAAAACTAACTAAACAATTTCCTTAATGAAAGTGGAGTGAAACAAATTTTACTTATAAGTCTTAACAAAATACTTCATAAAAAAGTTCACGAATAATTTGCGAAATGGCTAACGAGGTTCCTGCAAAAGGCAGCATCTTAGGAAGTAAGTAGATGAATTAAAAATAAACCGTTAAACACTCATGCCGACAAATTCATAAATATATGTTACTCCATTGCCATAGTGATTGTTTTTAGAATGAAAGTGGCTCGTCAATGTCACCTTCTTTTATTTTAATGTTACACACAATAATTATGAACGGGGAGGAGTACAGAGTTATGCATTCAGATTTTGACCTTAAGAATGATAAAAGGTCGTTGGTAGCAGCAATGGACTTCCTTGCTTCAAATCGCAGGTTACCACTTATATATAAACATACATACATACATACATACATACGATATACGTATGCTTCTACATAAATGGATTTAGGGCTTTTTTATATTTACTGTTATTATTATTTATTTTTTAAAAATTGTATGTGCCCAAAAGAATACAAAATCTCAGGATGTGACGTGAGGATTGGTTTCAAACACATAGTATGAGATCACAAATCGATACATACTGATGTGCCCAATATTTTTACAAGCACTTACATACATACTTACGATTGTACATTTAAATTTTGGCGAAAATATATATTCACACATCTTATGATATTATGGGTAAGGTCATTTAAAAGTCAATTTTTTTAATAATAAAAATAGTCACTCTATTCTGACACTTATATTGAATATAATCAAAAGGTATAAATAATTAGAAATTAAAGTATTGAGGAAGCTGATAATGTATGAAAAGGAAAACAAAAAAGGAATTTGTAATTTAAATAATAATACAATAATGTTAGAGTACTTGCACTGCGGTTTTACCATGTAAAGATAAACCCTGTCTAATGGTTTTTTTCAGTTAACATTTATGACGACATTTGTGAGGAACTGAGCTAAATATAAATTCTTGATGTAGCGACTGTGACTATGACTGTGTTATCAGTAAACAGGCAATGCCGTTTAATGAATCCTATTATTCTCTTATTAATTAATTCGAATAATTGAGTAAATAAATGCAGTGAAGTCCGATAAGAATTTCAGAAACTTATTAAATGATTTCTTTGAAATTATATCGTAAATAATTTTTGTGGTTGTATTTTTGTAAATAATTTTCAGAATTTTGCACTGACTTGATGTGTCTTTTTTAACATGTATTTATAATATATACATACATCTCATGTATTGTAAATATATATATGTAAAGACTAGATACTCGGCAAATATCCAAATGAGTCCGATTGTCATAGCATTTTATTATACCCTGAACAGTGTTACCTCGCATGTACCACCCAAAAGAAAATGGCGGAGACCTTATAAAAAATTGATGATCAGCATCACGAGTTGCGGCGAGTTAGTCATGTCCGCCTGTCTTTATATGCGCAAACTAGTTCCTAAGTTTTTGAGATATCGATATATATGATATATGAAATTTTGCACACGTCCTTTTCTCCTCAAGAAGCTGGTCATTTGTGGGAGCTGCTAATATCGGACCACTACAGCATATAGTTCCCATACAAACTGAACCATTGAAATTATATCCTTGTAAGGAATTTTTTTATTTGTGGAGGGCTGGTACATAGCTTCGGTGCAACCGAATTTAACCTTTTTTTCTTATTATTTTTTTTTTATTTAACCTAATCACTCATTCGCACATGAATTAGTTGATCGACAATTAGCAACAACAATGCAATAATAGTTAAGCCACCACCATCGTTATTGCGGATCTACTTACACATAAATGTGAAATTCCATATGAAACCTGGTGATTTGGTATTTTTTAAAATCGTAATCAGTCATTAACTTCTGTTCAAATGATAACTACCTAAATATAAATGCCGCATGCTTAGTCTGCGAGTTTGGTCTTTTGACGGAAATATTAAGGATTTAATATACTCCTATATATTCATATATGTATAATTATAATATATTTCAGTATAATTATAAGTTTGACGCATCATTTGTACAAGTATTTCACCATGATACGTAAGAGGCTTAAACATGTAAATATACCTTACATACATGTACTTACTTTAATTGTTTATTTGCAGAATGCTTACCCGCCCGTTACATACTAGCGGTGCTTGGATCTTGTGGTATGGCCATAATTTACGGTCTCAAAGTAAACCTCAGTGTTGCAATGGTAGCAATGTTAAATCATACCGCCATTGAGGCTGGACATAGTGTTGCTCGTGAAGTTCATAATATGAGCTTTAATTCTATGTCACAAGAAGAGGTATGCCATAAGCCTGGTAATGGAAATGTAACCAAACAAGAGGTAAATATGAACATGCCACATTGCTTTTTATACACATATGTACTTATATGTACATATATATACATATATTTATGTGCGCATATTGCAAACTTTAACAAATATCACCCAGCGAAATTGTGGTAATTACATACATACATACATATGTATGCGAAAAAGGGAAACATTGAGAGATATGGAACAAAATTAATTCTGTTTTAAGATGAATTGACGACTTTCTAAAAACTTTGGATTTTTTATTTAATAAGTGAAATTATTTTAATTTTAATTACTCTTGAAAGACATTATTCAAAATTTTATTTGCATAAAAAATATTAGTAAATTGTAAGAAATTGTCACAGTGCATTATATGAGTCAACATTAACTTTAATCGAAAGAGTTTGAATATACTAGGCATAGAGATAGACATTAGAATACCAAATATTTGCATATATTCCCAAAATACTACTGCATATACAAATTTCATAAATATTACATTAGCTGAGTATCATACGAGTATTTGGTATTTCAGACGCATGTAAGTATACGAAAATATTAACTAATTTTTACCTGGCAATCAGACGAGAAAGGAATACTTGTATATTTAGTTCAAAATATATATATATATGTATGTGTGTAGGTACTATGTATATACTCGTACACAATAAGAGGAAATAATGTCTTAAATGTATTAATTAATTTTAGGAAGGACCCTTTGTGTGGAGTGAAGGTATACAAGGAACTCTGTTGAGCTGCTACTTTTGGGGTTATTTGGTGTCGCAAATGCCAAGTGCACGAGTAGCCGAAAAGTTTTCTGCAAAATGGGTGATGCTCTTTTCAGTTGGTATTAATGTAATTGCAACCTTGCTCACACCGGTTATGACAAAATCCCACTATGCCGGTTTAATTGTAATGCGTGTTCTGGAGGGCATAGGTGGTGGAGCAACTTTTCCAGCTATGCACTGCATGATCGCTGCTTGGGCACCACCCAATGAGCGCTCGGTCATGTCGACTATAATATATGTGGGAACTTCTTTTGGTACGGCTATTTCCATACTTTTAGCTGGTGTTTTGTCGGCACGATGGGGCTGGGAATCGGTATTTTACTGGATGGGCGGCTTAAGTGCATTCTGGATGATCTTATGGATATTCCTCATACAAGACAACCCGAATAAACAACGATTGATCAGCCCAGAAGAGCGCCAAATGATAACTTCACAGTTAGGAACCGAAAATACCGCATCAAACGTGGACCACCCACCTGTACCGTGGAAAAAAGTATTGACATCAATACCGTTTTGGGCTATTTTAATTGCTCATTGTTGCAGTAATTGGGGTTGGTATATGTTTCTCATCGAAATACCTTTCTATATGAAACAAGTTTTGAAATTCGATGTTTCAAGTAATGCCCAGTTCAGCGCACTGCCTTACTTTCCAATGCTAGTTTTAAGCATCTTATTGGGTAAAACTCTGGACACATTGAAAGCCAAAGGTAATTGAAAATTAAATACAAATGAAGAACATAAAAATATTGTAATGATAAAAGGTAGATTTTTACTGTAGGATGCATTTCGCAATATATTAACTAATGTAAATGTCTTCTTTTTTCAGGGAAAATTACTACCACTACTGCGCGCAAAACTGCGACAAGTATATGTACAATCATACCCGGTGTTTGCCTTTTAGCATTGTGCAACATCGGTTGCAAGCATACAGCAGCTGTTATAATCATGACAATCGGAATCATTGGTATGGGTGGCATGTTTTCTGGATTCCTTTCAAATCACATTGATATTGCTCCTAATTACGCTGGTACACTGGTCGCAATTACCAACACTGCTGCAACGATTCCAGGCATCATAGTTCCAATATTTGTCGGCTTAATTACAACTAATAACGTATGTTTATATCTAATTCAAAGAAGAACATAAGTATTTGAAATTTTTATCTTATAGCAAACCATTGGGGCTTGGCGTATAATTTTCTATGTAACTATAGTCCTTTTCGCTATCGAGTTCTTGGTATTTGTAATATTTGGCTCAGGCGAAGAGCAATCTTGGAATAAGATTGAGAAAAAAGAAGCAAAGGACGAATCGACGCCATTGAAGTCTCAACCACTAAAGGACAATGTCTGAAAATTTTCAACACCCGAAAATACAATGAATTTAAGTTATCTTAGTTGTTGTTAATTTTACATCTATTTAAAATTAGTTGCATGCATTGGCATACATTTAAATATAAATACCAATACCTTCATTAATTTCATTATATGACGTACATACATATGTATATAAATATATGTACTTTTCATGGCAAAGATATCGAAATTCCTCAAAGTGTTATATCTTAAAAACCTTTAAATTGTATTTGCTAAAGAAAATGGGCATTAAACAATTATATACCACGTATATATGTATGTATATACACATATTTACATTTAGCCCCAAAATTGTTTTTGTTTTTTCTAAATAAGATAGGCTTCTATTAAGTTAGTGATAGTAGTTAGTAGTAAACATAGTACGTACATGGCAAATCTGTTGTAGGCATTTCTATCAAGTTATTGCACTTATCAAATAGAATATACATACATACATCTGCATGTTTTCAAACAAAACTTATTCATTAAATCTGGTATCCACAGAGATATTAAAAAGTATTTCCCGGCAAGGAATATTTTTACCCTGTGTTATCCTTAAAATACTTTAGAACAGAAATGTGGTTTTACTCAATAAGAGCATAACCCAAGGCTCCCAGTATGATCAGTCAACCCCCCGTCCCCCACAGTGCGCCAACCGTCTCCACGGGTACTACAGCCACAACAGCCTTCACCTGTGCACCACTCCCTCCCACCCAGTATTACTACTATTTTATGAATTTTATGTATTTGCTAAAGAAAATGGGCATTAAACAATTATATACCACGTATATATGTATGTATATACACATATTTACATTTAGCCCCAAAATTGTTTTTGTTTTTTCTAAATAAGATAGGCTTCTATTAAGTTAGTGATAGTAGTTAGTAGTAAACATAGTACGTACATGGCAAATCTGTTGTAGGCATTTCTATCAAGTTATTGCACTTATCAAATAGAATATACATACATACATCTGCATGTTTTCAAACAAAACTTATTCATTAAATCTGGTATCCACAGAGATATTAAAAAGTATTTCCCGGCAAGGAATATTTTTACCCTGTGTTATCCTTAAAATACTTTAGAACAGAAATGTGGTTTTACTCAATAAGAGCATAACCCAAGGCTCCCAGTATGATCAGTCAACCCCCCGTCCCCCACAGTGCGCCAACCGTCTCCACGGGTACTACAGCCACAACAGCCTTCACCTGTGCACCACTCCCTCCCACCCAGTATTACTACTATTTTATGAA